CACTATGTAGACCAGGCTGGCCTCGAACTCACAAAGATCCGCCTGCCTCTGCCTCCCAAGTACTGGGATTAAAGGCATGCGCCACCACGCCCGGCTGCAAGACCTCATTTTTAAAAATTAAACTATAATTATTAACATGTCAATTAGTTAATTGTACAAATTAATGGCTTTTACTGTGACATTTGCATATATGTATATGCATCATGTAGTATTCATATCTACTGTGATGGCTAATCTTGGTGATTAACTTGACATAACTGGGAAGAGGGAATCTCAGTTAAAGAATTACCTCTATCAGACTGGCCTGTGGTATGTCTGTGGGAAGTTTTCATTCCTTCCTTCCTTCCTTCCTTCCTTCCTTCCTTCCTTCCTTCCTTCCTTCCTCCCTTCCTCCCTCCCTCTCCTTCCTTTCTTTTTTGAGACGGTCTCTCTGTAGTCCCATCTGGCCTAGAAGTCACTATGTAGACCAGGCTGGTCTTGATCTCAAAGAGATCTGCTTGCCTCTACCTCCTCAGTGCTGAGATTAAAGGTATAAACCACTATGCCCCTTGGGAATTTTTTTGATTGCTAATTGATGTAGGAAGACTCAGGCCATTGTGGGCAGTAACATCCCTAGGCCTGTGGGTCTGGGCTGTATAAGAAAGCTAGCTGAACACGAGCCTGGGAGCAAGTCAGTAGACAGCATTCCTCCATGGTTTCTGTTTCAAGCTCTTGCCTTGAGTTCTTGCCTTGGTTTCCCTCAGTGGTGGACTATATAACCTGTATGATGACATAAACCCTTTCCTCCCTAAGGTGATTCTGGTGGCTATTTTATCACAGCAACAGAGGAGCAAATGAGAACACCCACCCTTCTTTCTCCTACCATCTCTGTGTTCCTCTCCCCTTTAACCGTCTTCAAGTCCCTAATAGTCCCTGCGATTGTCTTTCTGTGTCAAGCTTATTTTAACAAATTCATGATTAATCCACACATTTTCCAGTCACAGAAAATGCAGGAAACATTTCTAATATGTCAGGCCACTCGGATTTCTCAAACTCTTGTTATTTACTAAGGTTAATAACTTATGTGGATACAACAGTACTGAAATTTTACAGCCCTTAACCTTATTAGTGATATAAAAATTAGAGATCTAATATTTCTTTATAATCAGATCATTCCATGGAATAGGTTCTGGAGATGCACAGGTGAACAAGGATGATTGATCCCAAAGGGCAAAATGTGTGACTTCAGAAAATCACCTATTACAACCTGTCTGACTGTCAGTGTCACCTTCCACTCTTCTGTATGAGGACAGTCAGCTCAATTTGGGCCAGCAAGCTTTGTCTCTGTCTGCCAGGCTACTTCTCAGGGCAAAGCTAACAGCTTGGTTGACTTACATGGCGCCTTGTTGGGATCAGGAGAACTTTTTTGTATTTTTAATCTCTTCCATTTCCTCTCTCTCTCTCTCTCTCTCTCTCTCTCTCTCTCTCTCTCTCTCTCTCTCTCTCTTTTTCCTGTTTGCAGCTCAGCGACATGTCCTCACGTACATGGAGGATGCAGTGTGCCAGCTGCTAGAGAACAGGGAGGATATCAGCCAGTATGGCATTGCCCGGTTCTTCACAGAATAGTAAGTATATGAATACTTTGCTAACAGGGTGGGCCCAAAGGAGGTACTTGGAATCGATCAGGGTACATGAAAAATAGATTAGGCCAGTGGTGATTTTGTCATAATCATCTTAAAACACTTTAATCTTCATGAAAAGATGTCCTAAAGAGACACAAAGTGTTGCTTTATATATGCCATCACATATGAATATAATCATTTGGATTCTCTTTCCTATTTTTCTTGTGTTTGGAGAATATTGTAAGAAAGTGGGAGTAGCTTCTGGCTGCTTCTTTTTTTAAGGTAAATCATGAACTAAAGTCCATCTTCCTTAAATATGGGTGTTTTTATCCACTGTTGTTTTCCAGAGACTCCTTGGAGATCAGACAGCTGTTCTGATGAACTAAACCTGAGTTGCTATTAAAGGAACATTTGATTCTCCCTAGCTCTTTACTATGCTAGAGTTCTTAGAAATAAAATAAATAAAATCTAGATTTTTCTTTTTTTCTTTTCTCTTCTCTTTATTTTGTTTTCTTTCTAGATGTAGATGGAACCCAGGCCCTTATACAAGGGAAGAACTCTACCATTGAGCCATATTCCCAATCTTAAAAAAATCTAGATTTCTGCTGGGCATGGTGGTGCATGCCTTTAATCCTAGCACTCGGGAGGCAGAGGAAGGCAGATCTCTGTGAGTTCAAGGCAGCCTGGTCTACATAGTGAGTTCCAGGACAGCTGGGGCTACAGGGAGACCCTGTCTCAAAAAGACCAAAAAAAAAGAAAAAAAATCTAGATTTATTTAGATAAGATTGGGGTCTGCTGTTCATTTTCTCAGTTCTGTGCTGGGTTACTGTCTGGGAGTCTCTTGGGCCACCCTGGCCAACAACTCAAAGGAAGGTATCTCCTGTCTGGCATTGTTTCTTGTTTTTTTTAAAAAAAATTTATTTATTATTTTCATTTTATGTGTATGTGTGTATTGCCTGCATGTAGGTAAGTGCACCCGTGTCATGCAGTGCCCTTGGAAGTCAGAAGAGGCTATTGGATCCCCTGGGACTGGAGTTATGGACAGTTGTTAGCTGCCATGTGGGTGCTGGGATTCGAACCCGGGTCTTCTGCAAGAACAACCTGTGTTCTTAACCACTGAGTAATCTCTCCAGCCCCAATTGTTTCTTGTTATGTAGCCTTTAGCTATACACATGGACTCTTAAAGAGATATATTAATCCCTTTAATCTTTCATTATACTTTCCTTTTGGGTGTTTAAGACCATACAATTGGCCAAGTAAACCAATTTATTTTTACTCTTAAGGTTGTTTGAGGATCTGTTCCTCAGGGGTCACATGGGCTTGGGAGGAGCCCCTGGCTCTTCTAGATAGGCTGACGAGACTCAGCAGAATGGACTAGCACTGGGGAATAGCTGGGGGCACTGACAACACAGTGGACAGTAACAGGGATGATAGAATATATGGGTTCCAGTGGTAGGGGGAGGCTATGGGAGGGTGCCGTTTGGGATGTGGGTATGAAAATGAATAAAATTGTTTGGGATGTTCTGTATGAACTACACAAAAAAGTGAATTAAAAAAAATCTAGATTTCTCTTTTTTTCATTAGAGATTGGTTTATTTTTATTTGATGGGTGGGTGTGTCTTGCCCAAATGTATGTTTATGTACCATGTGCATGTCTAATGCCCAAGGAGGCCAGAAGAGGATGTCAGATCCCCTGGAATTACAGTTACAGATGGCTTTGAGCCAACATGTGGGTGCTGGGAGTAGCACCTTAACAAGAGCAGCAAGCACTCTGAACCACTGAGCTACCTCTCCAGCTGAATATCTAGATTGGAATCCATTGGAATTTTGGGAAGAAACAAGTTTGTTGAGAAGAGAGTTAGTCTCTTCTCCTGGTCTTCTAAAGAAGGATGAAGTAGAGAAAGGAAGTGTGCTTGTTTTCGTGGTGTGTGCTGAAGCAAATGAAGTGTCAGGGAACAGACTGGGATTGAATAGCCTTGTTTGCTTTTACAGAACTGACAGGCCGAAGGGTCAAGTTTCTAGGCCATTTAATCTGTACCAGTACTTTGGAGGCTCCTTGCCAAGTGAAATATGACCCTTATGGGGTAATGCTTCTTCCTGGCCTTTTTTCATTCAACCCCCCTCATCTCCTTTATAAGTCTTTCCCCTGTTATACTGGTTCCTTCAGGGCAAGCGTCATTTCTTCTTCATCTTTATTTTCCAAGTGTGTGTTAGCATATAATAGATGTTGGTAACAGAGTTAGTAAATATTTCTGAATCTATAACTGTCTATATTTTAAACTAGTGCGTAACCTGCCTACTACTCTAATTGTAGATTTTGTTATAATAAAAACAACCCTATCTGTTGTTGGTTTTGGACAGTAAAGCTCTATTTTTTTCCCTTTAAGAAGTTTTATACAATGTGTCTTGCACTCCAAAAGCACATTACACTGGCCTATGTAACTGATACTGAACTCTAGAGAACCTGTAGGAAGGCTTGTAGCTGTTTGGAATGCAGTTTACTCTGGGTAGGGGTTTGGGGTTTTTTTAAAAATCTACTAATATACTGTTAAGAAAAGAAAAAAGACAAGATTTTTCATAATACTGATAGAAATCTAGTTGCCAAGTGAGCTGTTTCTTGTTCTCAGAAAACTAAAAATTATATAAAGTATGTGAGTGGAACATTCCTGAAACTTCTGTGACTCTAAGACAACAGATTGGCTTGAGGTAAGTTATTTTGAAAAGTGAACAGTGAACCAGTATCAAAGTTCCAAAGATGTTAAAATATTTTTTGAAAGGCATAACCATATGACAAAATGGGAAATGTATTTGGTAGACTCATAGAAGCTCCTGATTTGACTTTGAGTTTGATTTATCTAGTGAAAATCCTCCCATTCAGGCCCCCAGGTTTGTATTGATTCATAAGAGAAGCATGGCTGTCAGCTGGAGAGATGGCTTGACAGTCAAGAGGGAGAGGGAGAGGGAGGCGGGGGGAGAGAGAGAGAGAGAGAGAGAAAGAGATTGAGATTGAGATTACAGAGCACTACTGTAGGATGAAGCAGCTCCCTGCTGGTTAACCCTTAGCAGATTTCTGAATGCTGGGCTGCAATTGCCTCATCTATGAAATGGGCTTAATAAGCCTTACATACATACATACATACTACTACTACTACTACTACTACTACTACTGCTACTGACATAATGAGCAGTTTTTATTAAACTCATCTTATGTTTCTTCTGCTACAATTCTTTGAACTAGGTATGATTGTTATCCCTGTTTTATTGATGAGGAAATGAAGGATCCTCAATTTAAACGTTAAAAGAGCTTCAAGTACATAAGCTAAAAATTGTCAGAGTTAAATCTAGCATTATCTGCAGTATTACAGAGTGCATCTCTACTGCCTCCAAGTACCTTCATTACCTAATGTTGCTGGAAGCCTTCATCAGTCTTTTTTTTTGGGGGGGGTGTCTTTAGCTATAATTTCTACAACTCTTGAATTCTCTCTATGAACTATATTATACAAGCTTATCTTATAGCCTTGTCTGTTGATTGATGATCTTAATTTGTTGCCATTTAAATATCTAGTTTTGGCCTTTTGGAGAATCAATTACTGCTGTCTCTAAAAAGAAAGCATGACTTTGAAAAAAGATACTAACTATACACTTCCATCTCATAGTTTCAAGATCATGCCTTTTCATACATTAAATGATTGGTGTTATATACCTATTTATCACTTATTGAGTTATCTGTGAAAGGCCTTGGATGGGAGGTTCAAGAGGGACACTGAGACAGATGGTTGGGGGGTATGGAGTTTATAAAAAGAGTTATGAACAACATAAACAGATAGACAGACAACAGCATGGTGGGAGCCCTAGGGAGACTTCAGGCCCCAGCCCCAGAGACAGCTTGGTGGGGGCTCTGAAGAGAAGAGATCGTGGCCTGTATGGCAGAAGTGGGAGTCTCTTCTACCTCCCTGAGGATGGGGCAACTTCTATAGCATAAGCCTATGGCCAGGCTCTCTGATTCCTATACAGGAGGGTGGGGAGCAGAATGTGTGGCCACAAGTACCCCCTCTAATGTAAACTCACTTCCCCAGGTGAGAGCTCCTGTCACATGGAAGTCTGTTAGAGATTGACAGGCAGTATCTCAATAGGGTGCCTGTCAGTATTCTTAAGAGGGGAAGGGCTGTTGCAGGCCTTATGGCCTGAGCAGGAGGCAGCTGGATTCTAACATTACATTCTTACAGTGAGCGTCCCAGAAAATCTTAATAAACTGCAAAACATAGTGTCTGAGCAGTATCATGTTTGTGTCTGCAAGACTGAGCTCTGTAGACCATATTCCTTTGGACACTCTTGAAAGAAGGAAAGACGATCCAAAAGGGTTTTCTTTTGTGCTATGTGTAATATCTACCTCTGAGTATTGTCCTTCAACCAGAGAAGGTGACAGGAATGAATATTTAGAGGCGCTACTCTAAGAATAGACCAAGTCAGATAGGCATGGTGGCGCATGCCTTTAATCCCAGCACTTGGGAGGCAGAGGCAGGCAGGATCTCTGTGAGTTTGAGCCTAGCCTGGTCTACATAGTGAGTTCCAGGCCAGCTGGGGTTACAGGGAGACAAAAAAAAAAAGAGAATAAACCAAGTCAATAAAAAAAAGAATAGACCAAGTTAATGCCAGGTCAGGCTCCCTGAAGACATGCATCCAAGAAAATGAGATTGGAGTAGCTGTGACTTAGAGACAGAGTGTGACCAGGTTCTTGTGGTGAGGATGGAATGAGAAATGTAGCTTTTTAAGACACTGGCAAAAAATGATGAGAGAAAAACAGGCTGACTGAAACTTGAGAGTTGCTATCGGGATTGGGAACCATTCTGCAGCTAATTGATAGTTCCAGCCCTGTGGCATCAGGGAGCCTGACCTCCACATCCTAATATAGAAAAGAGTAACACTCTGTGGTCATGGCCATTGGGCCCAGGAGGGTTTTTTCTTATGATCAAATGTCTTTGTTTTGTTTTGCTGTGTTTTGT